ACCATCAAACGACCAAGGATACATCAATAAACAGTGAAATGCAAAACATATACTTTGAACCGAGATCAGCCTACTTACTGTAGGATATTGATGAGAAGCACAAGGTTAACTTTGTTTCAAAACTCTTTTAAAATAATCTTACAAGAGACAACCAGCTTGGCTCAAACGAAAAGAGACAACATAACCCAAACGAGGATTATCATGAAAAGAAGGGGAAAAACTAACAAAACTATGAACTAAGAGTGATAATAAACTATAGCGAGATTGGACCTTAAATATATCAAAACAAACTAACCAATTTTTGTAAAGCACAATCAGAGAGACACAAGAAGAAAGAAAAGAAAAGAAATCCGAGGAAAAGAAAAATGAAACATTGTATATGCATATCCATACTTCTACGAACCAAACATCAAACAAAATTTCAACTCAGATTGAGGGGTCTGAGTTAAACGCATAATCGGGAGCAATGAAGAACAACTAAAGGTCAAATGAGCAGAACTAAAATGAGAGATTTTTACCTTCTTGCAGGCAGTGAACTTGACATGAGAATGAGCGGAGACGAACTTCCACGACCACAGAAGAACTCTAATGAGCTTCTGTAAATTTCAGCAACCAGTGAAAAAAGGAGAAGGAAAATGAAAGGGTTTTTTAAGTGTATTCCTGAAATAACTTTTGTAGCTTAAGAATTTCCCTCCTCTGTAAAATTTTCAACTTTTTCTCCTTATATTTTTTCCAACTTTTCGACTTAATCCCCCCTCCTACTAGTCAATCAGAAGAAACATAAATAGAAGGGAGATAGGGTTCGAAAATGGGGGAAAAATGGATCAAAACTCCAAAGCCCATTTTCGAAATTCAAAATTCCAAAACCTTTCACCCTTCTGGCTAAACAATCTTTTCTAAGGTTTTCAACCCATTCCGGAAGAGGAAAGGGAAGAAAACGTGCATGCTACCTGCTTTTGCTGCTCTGCACTATTGCAGCGAAAAGCAACATACTGCTGTACTAGGCACAAATTTCCTCACGCCGTGAGCTTTCCATGAATCGACGTGAGTTGATGAACATTGAGGCGTCGTTTGTAAGAAGTTGCTGATGTCGTTTGGAGCGGATGAGAGGACGTCGTGAGTTGTTGTTGAGACGTTTGGAAGCCGCTGGAAATCTCTTTTGATTTTCTTTGTGAATTAGAAAAGGGTTGGGTCGGGCATATGGGTTATTGGAGTGGGTTTATATATGGATAATGGGTTGTTTTGGTATGTTGTATGTATTAGTTGCTGGAATTGTTGGATCGTGGTTTTGGGCTGGAAAATTATAGGGGTGGCTGGCTGGAAAATAAGGGAAATGGGTTGGGTTTGTTTGTTGCTAAAATGGATAATTTGGATTGGAGGAATTGGGTTCAAAATTGGGTAGAACAAAATGGCTAAATAGATTACAATTGTGGCCATATAAAATTTAAAACATAACCAAATTGAGTTGATTTAGTGAATCCGGCTAGAATCTAAACACAATGAATTAAGATTGATTAAACGAGCTTCTTAATCTTAACAAAATAAAATAGTTAACTTAATTATAAACTAATTATTTCAAGAACGTAAATTATTATATAACTAAACTAATTAACCAAATATTTAATTAAAATTATAATCTTTTTGAGACGATTTTTGAATATTCATAAAATGCATTAATTATACACATAATTACGAAATAGATATATATATATATATATATATGTAAATAATAAAATTAATTAAAAGTAACTTGAAAAATATTTTGAACTTTATAAAAACTAATTATTTCAAATTGTTTGAAATTTTGGAAGCTCGATGATTAATTCTTATCGGGGAGGGTCAAAATTTGGTGTCAACAATTGTCCCTCATTTTACGTGGATTGATGCAAGAAATTCGAGGAAAATGAAACTGACTAATCCAATTTTGACCGACCACGTTTTCATCTTTCGGAAAAGGGCTTTTGGTGCGGACTATAGGAATTATGGCCGAACCCCAGAAGTGAGTTTCCTACATATCTCAGGCTATATGAGAATTCAGGCTACTTGTAGTTTGATACGCTTGATTTAACGCACGATTTTGAGAGAATTCAAAAGCTATCCGATATCGAATTATGAAGAAATCAAAATGCTAGGAAATAAGATTTAAGAGCGAATGTCGGATTACAGCCAAGTTTTCAACATTGAGCCCGCCTACATATCCCTCGACTTAGGGAATCAGGCTGCTTGTTGTTTGACTCAATTGATTGAAAAGGAAATCTATTATGCTAGATCACCTTCAGTTCTGGAAGAGCGACAAAGTCGGTCGAGTATGAAAAGGAGGCTTGCAACCTCTTAGCCATAAATGTGGCGCGCTTCACACCCATAATTAAGAACTTGCGCGGACATAATTTCCAAAGCTCTTGGTGCATTGTCATTCAGATTGGAAAGCTGCTTCCAGTAGAGACCAAAATTTCTGGATGCGAAACTGAAACCAACAAACCCAAAGAAAAACCCACATGCCTTTTAACAGGGGTGTGGTTTGATTGTGGTGGAAATTGCTCTGCTCACGTCCGAAGAGTTTGGCACTCCTCTTTGGACTATGTCCCAGTTCGCTTCTAAGAAAAAGTTCCACGTTTGTGTTGCATCCTAATTGATGTCGTCCGCACCTGTGGTTTTGATTTGAAAATTCATCCTATCGGATGCCCTCGACAGAGAGTGAGATAAAACTCATTAGCATAAAATGCAATTCAAATGGAGAGATAGTGTCTTTTACTGTGTTGACACTTAATTGTTCTCCTTGAACATTTGACGTCAACTCCATCGGGTTTGACGTAAAACAAATAAAGTTTCTGTCTCATATTTGCAATATAATCTTCCACGTACTCTTCCTTTGATGTCAAAGCAATAGAATAAGTTGATGTAATATGTTGACGGTTCTCTTGATGTCATTGTTGCAAAGAAAAATCATGCAGTCGATGTTGATCTTCTTGTGATGGGTAAATATTTCTGTTGTGATGCATAACTTTTCTCTTGCTGTGCATGACTTTTCTCCTGCTATGCGTAAATCTTTCTCTTGCTATGTATGAATCTCTTTCCCGTGATGCATGACTTCTCTTGCAATGCATGATTTCTTTCTCTTGATGTGCATGACTTCTTTCTGTTGCAATGTATGATCTCCTTTCTCTTGCAACACATGACTTCTTCCTCCTGCGGTGCATGAATTCTTTTGCTTGCAATGCATGAATCTCTTTCCCGCGATGCATGACTTCTCTTTCTCACGATGTATGGCCTCATTTTCTTGTGATGCATGACTCTTTCTCTTGCTATGCATGGATTCTTCTTCTTGCTCTTGCTATGCATGACTTCCTTCTCTTGCTATGCATGACTTCTCTGTGATGCATTACTTCTTTCTCTTCCTATGCATGAATCTCTTTTGCAATGCATGAATCTTCTTTTGCGATGCATGAATATCTTTCCACGATGCATGAATCTTCTCTTGCAATGCATGAATCTCTTCCCGCAATGCATGAGTCTTCTCTTGCAATGCATGAATCTTCTCTCGCGATGCATGATCATCTTTTCTGATGCATGAATCTCTTTCCGCAATGCATGAATCTTCTCTTGCAATGCATGAATTTCTTTCCCGCGATGCATGACTTCTTCTCTTGCTATGCATGTTTTCTTCTTCTGATGATGATGCCATCCCTGATACCGAACGAAGATAATGATTCACCGAACAAATATGTGATCTTCTGGGTATCTTCTGGGTGGCGGTATCGTCTCAATTGACAATACAATAAAAATGACCCTCAAAGAATGGTATCATCTCATTCGACAATACGACATAAATGACTCTCCGAGTTGTAATATTATCGTGTCTGATAATATGATGCAGATAAACGTCCTCCAGGTATCTTTAGTTGCTGGAAATTAAAATATCGCTCTCTTCGTGGTTTTCGTTTGTTCCATCTCCGAACATAGTTGCAATGTTCATTATGAACCTTACTCTGCTGAGAATTTGAATAAAATAATGTTACTCATATTCCCAACTCTTTGGCATAAGAAGCCTAAGATATTTCGTGCATCCATAGAAAAATTGTCAATTTTGGGGAGTTCCTCGCCCTTTTGACTTCTCCATATTCATTGAATGGAGAAATACGTTGATCTTGAGGCAAACTTATAGACCTGCATCCACAGAAAAATTGTTAGTTTTAAAAATGAACTGATCTGTGTCGATCTCTTCAGTTGTCTGCACCTTGTCTGACTATCTCCGATTGATTTTTCTGATCTCCCGCTTCTTGATAGGTAAGACAAAACATATTTACGCAAAATAATTTAGACACGAAATAAAAGTTTTTAAGAAAAATAGATTTTCAAAAAGGAATATTTGGAAAAGGTCGCTGCCAAGTGTCATGTCACATTGAGCTTAATGAACGTCTTTAAAGTTGATGTCACGAGGTCTATCTGATCACTTGCTGGAAAGTATTCAAAGTTGTTCTAAACTGCCGATAATCCTTATTGAAATTTTGAGGCCATCCTCAAAATTTCTGTCCCAGTTGACTATCTTGGCTTATCTCGAACTATTGGTGAGTAAATCACAGAATTTTTGAGATCCTCTCAAAAATTATGTCCCAGTTGCAAATTTTAAAGTAACTTCAGTCTCGATTTTGTTGGAGAAATCTTCTTCTTAAGAATTTTTGAGTCCCTCTCAAAAATTTTGTCCCACTTTCTATTGTAAGGAAAATAGAAATCTTACGGGAGATATAACCGAACCCTTGTGGCGCCTAGGTATCCTGTTGAGGAAGGAAACAGGTCAAATGTAGTTCCCCCTCTCGAGGATTAACAAAAGTAGGAAATTTATAAAGAAACCAACCAAGGCCGACATAGATTGCCTACGTATCTCATTCTTGAGAATTCAAGTCGAACGTAGTTCATTACAAGAGGAATAAGATTTAAACCACGCGATTACAAGCGAATAGAATGATTGCAAGGAAATGACAAGAAAAGTCCAAACTGAAACTTCACACATAGTATCTCTTGACAGCATCTGAGTTGATTGGTTTCGGCCATTCAGTGCCATCCATCTCCAACAGAATCAAGGCACCTCCAGATAACACTTTGCGAACCATGTAGGCCCCTTGCCAATTTGGTGCAAATTTCCCTTTGTAGTCATCCTGATGAGGGAAAATGCGTTTAAGGACCAGATGGCCAATTTCAAATATCCTGACTCTTACTTTCTTGTGGAAAGCACGAATCATTTTCTGTCGATACAGTTGTCCATGACAAACAGTGTCACGCCCCGAGCTACCCCCAAGACGCGGACACGGGACCTAGGATCACAAGTGATCCCAAACTAACGTTGCTGGCATGATCATGAGCATACTAAAGATAATAAACTGATGCGGAAGCTAAATAATAAATAAATCTGAAAAGATAGGGAATACCCATATACTATAACTGAGATATATCAAATCTGACAGTTTAATACAAAAGAGATATCAAACTCAAAATACTAAGCTAAATCTAACTGTCTGAATTAAGCATCTAAACTGACTAAAAATGTTGGGACATGCCCCAACTAGATCTAGCAAAACTGAAACTAAAGACTAAAAGCAGTAAGGATAAACATGTCACTAGTCCTCGAAGAATGAGGACTCACCACTGATGTTGCTGAACTGGAGATCGGGAACCGATCTAAGCGTGATCTGGATGCTGAGAACCTGAACCTACATCACGAGAAGATATAGCGCACGTGTGCGTCGTTACTTGAGAGGTACTGAGCATGTAGGATAGAGTAAAGCTGAAATAACATATAACAGAACAAAGCAATAAAGCAATGAAATCATCTAAACATGATATAGATACTGAAATACTGATTACTGGGCTAACTGATGCAATGACCAAATTTATAACATGCTGAAACTGAATACTGACTGTACTGAAATATGGTCAATGCAAAAGAGTCTGACTGAACTGTGGGAGCTACTAATAACCGATATAAAACCACATGAGCTAAATGTGGAGTCCGATGTATACGCCCCATCGAGAGGACCCAATATACCCTGCCAGAGGTATAGAGCCATGCTGGCGTGATCACTAAACTGATGTTGCCCACAGAGGGGACTTACACCTACGTGGCTCGTAATTCTAGGACTATATGGGTACGCTGAAATCCTAGTCCAACTCGATATTATACTACTCCCAATGAATTAAGTAGTTAACTGGTTATGACTGAATTTCTGTAAATACTAGATAGCTCGAACTGAACATTCAAACTGAGAATGCAACAATTAATCTGATAATGATGCATTCATAAACTGAGGCATGTAAAACTGAATACTGAAATATCTGACCTAGCATGTGTAATTCAAGAACTAAAGAAATACATAGCTAGGGTTCTGAAATTCATGCGATAAACTGAGCAATAACATGATAATCTGATTTGGAACATTTAAATAACTAATTCATGATGATCTGCTGTAATTCTAGAAACCCTAGGTCTATTCATAATCATGGAATCAAGAATCTGACTGAATTCTATGGATCTAATGGGCGAAAGGAACCCACTAGTGAAATCCCACATACCTGGTGACGAATTCCACGGAGAATTCTTTCGATTTCAGGGCTGGAACTGATGGAACCTTGCTGCATTCTTGAACTAGGGTTCTTGACCATTTTCTCCTCTCTTGATTCTAATTTTCTTAGATTTTGATTAAAGAATTGACTTGGATAAGTTCTAGTTATGTTTGTAGGCTTAAACTGATTAAAACCTCATGATTTAGGGTTTAAACAACGTATCTTAGGGGTTAGGAAAAGACCAAAAGACCCCTGAATTAACTGCTATCGGAGTGACTGACGGAATGGACCTATGGTCCGTCAATCAATCGACGGTCCGTAGGTCGAGTCTGCCCGACAGGGCTTCACTAAAACGGGCATACATTTTTACTCAGAGGTCAAAATTTAGCAAACTCGGTGGAGTTGGAAATATAATTCAATTATCTATCTAACCATAGGTCATGAGACACATAATTCATTTTGTGCTAAGAGTTATGACCATGAAGTTGACCCATCAATATTTTTCAGCTAACTGGCTGCTGACCCTCATCTACGGTCAGACCTACGGACCGTGGCTCGAATGACGGTCCATGCTGGTCGACCGTACTTTGTGTCAGAGGCTGGGTAAGGGAAGTCTCGATCCACGGACATAGACCACGGACCATGGTCTGATCTACGGACCGTGGGTCTATCCGTGAGTCGGGACTTAGCCAAATTTTCTGATTGAATTCTGGGGAAGTTTTCTGTCACGAACCACGGACCTGCAGGACGGACCGTGAGTCCATCTATGGTCCGTGGATGGTGTCCGTGAGTGCCGCCTGTAACACCAGAAATCTGAAATCTCTATTTTCGGATACGGGGTGTTACATTATCTCCCCCTTGGGACTATTCGTCCTCGAATGAAGACTAATCTAGATGAAATAGATGGAGAGGACTGCAATCCCTACCACAAAACACTGAGAACTGAATTTCTAACTGAATTGAGTTCCAAGAACATGCAAATACGCTGAAAATGCAAGTACAAACTGAAGGAACATGATTCTAAGACTGAATTTTTGCATGAATGACTGAAAAACTGAAGAGGAACTATTACCTCAAGCTGGAATGGAATCGGAAGGAAAGAGGTGAGGATACTTGGACTTCATGGCTGCTTCTTCTTCCCAAGTAGCTCCCTTTACGGACTGACTCCTCCACAAAACATTGACTGAAGCGACTTCTTTATTCCTCAACCTTCTAACCTGACGATCGAGAATCTCAACTGGTACATCCTCATATGAAAGGCTATCTTCCACGGCCACACTCTCTAATGGTACTATGGATGCTGGATCACCCACACATTTCTTCAAAAGGGAAATGTGAAAGACTGGATGCACTGCTGCTAAATCTGTTGGCAACTCTAACTCATAAGCCACTTTACCAATCCTTTTCAATATCCGGTAAGGGCCTACATATCTGGGACTGAGCTTTCCTTTGTTCCCAAACTCATCACTCCCTTCATAGGTGACACTTTCAGGAAAACCCAATCATCAACTTGGAACTCTAGTTCCCTTCTTCTCACATCTGCATAAGACTTCTGGCGACTCTGAGCAGTCTTAAGTCTATCTCTAATGAGTTGCACTTTCTCCATAGCATCAAGGACCGAATCTGGTCCTATCAAGGCTGCTTCACCTACTTCAAACCAACCAACTGGAGATCTACATCTACACCCATACAATGCCTCATAAGGGGCCATTTGAATGCTGGAATGGTAGCCATTGTTGTAGGCGAACTCTATTAGAGGAAGGTGATCATCCCAACTACCCTTTAAGTCGATCACACAAGCTCTCAACATGTCCTCTAAGGTCTGAATGGTACGCTCTGCTTGACCATCCGTCTGTGGATGAAATGTTGTGCTAAGATTAACCTGAGTACCAAGAACTTTCTGAAATGACTTCCAGAAATGAGATGTAAACTGAGGACCTCTATCTGAGATGATAGACAAAGGAACTCCATGCAACCTCACAATCTCATTAATGTAAAGCTTGGCGTAATCCTCTGCCAAATCTGTAGTCTTGACCGCCAAAAAGCGAGAAGACTTAGTAACCCTATCAACAATCACCCAAATGAAATCATGTTGTCTGCGAGTACGAGGTAAACTTGTGATGAAGTCCATGTTGATCACTTCCCACTTCCAAGTAGGAATGTCAATCTCTTGAGTCATACCTCCTGGTTTCTGATGTTCTACCTTTACTTGCTGGCAATTGGGGCACTTAGCCACAAAGTCTGCTATATCTTTTTTCATACCATTCCACCAATAGACTTCCCGTAGATCACGGTACATCTTAGTGGTGCCTGGATGAATAGAATATCTGGAATTGTGGGCTTCTGCGAGAATATGCTGTCTCAATTCACCCACATCAAGAACACACAATCTACCTTGATAGCGAAGTACACCATCTCCCCCTTGGGAGAAAACCTCCACTCTCTGATTGTGGACTGCACCCTTAAGTTCAAGCAAGATTGGATCACTATCTTGCATTTCCTTAACCTCTACTACCAAAGAAGATTCTGCCCCATTCTGAACCGTTACACCACCATCTGATATGCTCATAAGACGAACTCCTAGGCGAGCAAGTCTGTGAACATCCTTTGCTAGCTCTCTCCTTTGTTCCTCAACATGTGATACACTACCCATGGATAATCTGCTAAGAGCATCTGCTACTACATTCGCCTTACTCGGATGGTAATGCACACTCATATCATAATCTTTGAGGAACTCAAGCCACCTTCTCTGGCGAAGATTCAACTCTTTCTGGGTGAATACATACTGAAGGCTCTTATGGTCTGTGAACACATCTACATGAACACCATACAAGTAGTGTCTCCAAATCTTGAGTGCAAACACCACTGCTGCAAGCTCGAGGTCATGAGTTGGATAATTCTTCTCATGTACCTTAAATTGTCTTGAAGCATAAGCTATAACCTTACCTTGTTGCATCAACACACAACCTAGGCCGACCCTGGATGCATCACAATAGATCACATAACCATCTGAACCCTCTGGTAGAGTCAAGACAGGAGTTGTAGTCAACCTAGTTTTCAGTTCTGCAAAGCTTTTCTCACAATCATCTGACCATTGGAACTTAACCTTTTTTTGAGTTAACTTAGTCAATGGAGAGGCTATGGATGAAAATCTTTCCACAAACCGTATGTAATTGCCTGCTAGACCCAAGAAACTTCTGATATCTATAGCAGAGGTAGGTCTGGGCCATTGTTTCACTGCTTCTATCTTCTGGGAATCTACTCAAATTCCTTCACTATACACAATATGCCCAAGGAAGGCAACTGATTGTAATCAAAACTAACACTTGTTAATTTTTGCAAATAACTGGCGATCTTTGAGAGTTTGTAAAACAACTCTCAAATGACTTGCATGTTCCTCCTCATTCCTAGAATAAATGAGGATATCATCAATAAAGATGATAACGAACAAGTCCAAGTACTGCTTGAACACTCTGTTCATCAAATCCATGAAAGCTGCAAGAGCATTGGTTAGTCCAAATGACATAACTATAAATTCGTAATGACCATACCGAGTTTTGAAGGCTGTCTTCGGAATGTCACTATCTTTGACTCTAAGCTCCTAATGATAACCTGATCTGAGGTCTATCTTTGAGAAATGACTAGCACCCTGAAGTTGGTCAAACAACTCATCAATCCTGGGGATATGATACTTATTCTTGATTGTGACTTTGTTCAACTGCCTATAGTCAATACACATTCTGAGAGAACCATCTTTCTTCTTCACGAACAACACTGGTGCACCCCATGGCGAAATACTGGGTCTGATGAAGCTCTTATCTAGAAGGTCTTTCAACTGCTCTTTAAATTCCTTAAGCTCAGCTGGAGCCATTCTGTAAGGAGGGATAGAGATAGGCTGGGTATCTGGAAGGAGATCAATTCCAAAGTCTATTTCCCTTTCTGGAGGAACTCCAGAAAGATCTTCTGGGAACACTTCTGGAAACTCACTGACTATAGGAACTGACTCAAGAGTTGGGGATTCAGAACTAGAATCCTTAACCCGAACTAGATGATAGAGATAACCCTTAGAGATCATCTTTTTGGCCTTAAGGTAAGAAATGAATCGACCCATAGGCGCTAAGCTACTACCCTTCCATTCTAAGATTGGTTCGTCTGGAAACTGAAAACGAACAATCCTAGTTCTACAATCAACTGAGGCATAACATGAATGTAACCAATCCATGCCTAGAATGAATCAAAGTCTACCATTTCTAACTCTACAAGATCTGCTGAGGTGACTTTCTGAGAGACTGTGACAAGGCAATTTTTGTATACCCATCTAGCTATAACTGGGTCACCGACTGGAGTAGAGATTGAGAAGGGTTCTGAGAGAGTTTCTGGACTAACACTCAATTGGACTGCTATGTAAGGAGTTACAAGAGGCAAAGTAGCCCCTGAATCTTTCCACTAAGTGAACCATACGTGAGCCACATCCTTAAGCTGGTAGGATGCCAACTCAACCCTACCATTACTAGTCATTTGCATCACTCCAAAGATCTTCTTGACCTCATCAATGAAGTTTCGTGGGTCTTCACCAACTTGTGACCCTAAAACTCAAGCGGATTCATCCTTATAAAAATCTCAAACTCTAGCTGCCATTGATCCACCATTTCTATTAGTAGGAACTGGAACTTGCTGATTGTTCTCGTTGTCATACCTGAGCCAAAAGCTGAATTGGCATTTCGAAACTCTACATTCAAAACTTCCTGATCTGGGACTAGAGGAACTGTGTTAGCATTGTGTGCATTAGCATTCCTTGCCTAAGCTCTATGAGAAGGAATGATCTTAAGCACATAACGATCAATTAGAAAAGAGGTCATACTAACTCATGATAAGAATATCAAGAAAGTGTAGTTTTTTTAAAACATTTCATAGCCTCCCTCTCATTAGATGTGGTGCACTTCACACTAATGAAAAGGACTCTACTTAGTGCGGCTTTTCAGACATCCTAGGACACTTAAACCTAATGCTCTGATACCAAGTTTGTCACGCCCCGAACTACCCCCGAGACGCGGACACGGGACCTAGGATCACAAGTGATCCCAAGCTAACCCTACTAGCATGATCATGAGCATACTAAAGATAATAAACTGATAAGGAAGCTAAATCATAAATAAATCTGAAAAGATGGGAAATACACATATACTATAACTGAGATATATCAAATCTGAGAGTTTAATACAAAAGAGATATCAAACTCAAAATACTAAGCTGAATCTAACTATGTCTGAATTAAGCCTCTAAACTGACTAGAAATGTTGGGACATGCCCCAACTAGATCTAGCAAAACTGAAACTAAAGACTAAAAGCAGTAAGGATAAACATGTCACTAGTCCTCGAAGAATCAGGACTCACCACTGATGTTGTTGAACTGGAGATCGGGAACCGATCTAAGCGTGATCTGGATGCTGAGAACCTAAACCAACATCACGAGAAGATGTAGCGCACGTGTGCGTCAGTATTTGAGAGGTACTGAGCATGCAGGATAGAGTAAAGCTGAAATAACATATAACTTAACAAAGCAATAAAGCAATGAAATCATCTTAACATGATATAGATACTGAAATACTGAATATTGAGCTAACTGATGCAATGACCAAATTTATAACATACAGAGACTGAATATTGAGCTAACTGATGCAATGACCAAATTTATAACATACAGAGACTGAATAATGACTGTACTAAAATATGGGCAATGCAAAAGAGTCTGACTGAACTGTGGGAGCTACTAATAACCGACATAAAACCACATGAGCTAAATGTGGAGTCCGATGTATACGCCCCATCGAGAGGACCCAATATACCCTGCCAAAGGTATAGAGCCATGCTGGCGTGATCACTAAACTGATGTTGCCCACAGAGGGGACTTACACCTACGTTGCTTGTAGTTCTGGGACTATATAGGTACGCTGAAAACCTAGTCCAACTCGGTATTATGCTACTCCCAATGAATTAAGTAGTTAACTGGTTATGACTGAATTTCTGTAACTACTGGATAGCTTGAATTGAACATGCAAACTGAGAATGCAACAATAAATCTGATAATGATTCATTCATAAACTAAGGCATGTAAAACTGAATACTGAAATATCTGACCTAGCATGTGTAATTCAAGAACTAAAGAAATACATCGCTAGGGTTCTGAAATTTATGCGATAAACTGAGCAATAACATGATAATCTGATTTGGAACATTTAAATAACTAATTCATGATGATCTGCTGTAATTCTAGAAACCCTAGGTCTGTTCATAATCATGGAATCAAGAATCTGACTGAATTCTAGGGACCTAATGGGCGAAAGGAACCCACTAGTGAAATCCCACATACCTGGTGACGAATTCCATGGAGAAATCTTTCGATTTCGGGGCTGGAACTGATGGAACCTTGCTGCGTTCTTGAACTAGGGTTCTTGACCTTTTTCTCCTCTCTTGATTCTAATTTTCTTAGATTTTGATTAATGAATTGACTTGGATAAATTCTAGTTATGTTTGTAGGCTTAAACTGATTAAACCCTCATGATTTAGGGTTTAAACGACGTATCTTAGGGGTTAAATGAAATAGGAAAAGACCAAAAGACCCCTGGATTAGCTGTTGTCGGAGTGACTGATGGAATGGACCTACGGTCCGTCAATCAATCGACGGTCCATCGATTGGGTCCGTAGGTCGAGTCTGCCCGGCAGGGCTTCACTAAAACGGGCATAACTTTTTACTCGGAGGTCGGAATTTAGCAAACTCGGTAACGTTGGAAATATAATTCAATTATCTATCTAACCATTGGTCATGGGACACATAATTCATTTTTTTTGTAAGAGTTATGACCATCTGAAGTTGACCCATTAATATTTTTCTACTAACTGGCTGCTGACCCTCATCTACGGTCAGACCTACGGACCATGGATCGAATGACGGTCCATGCTGGTCGACCGTAGTTTGTGTCAGAGGCTAGGTAAGGGAAGTCTTGATCCACGGACACAGCCACGGACCATGGTCTGATATACGGACCGTGGTCTGATATACGGACCGTGGGTCTGTCCGTGAGTCGGGACTTAGCAAAATTTTCTAACTGAGTTCTGGGGAAGTTTTCTGTCATGAACCATGGATCATGATTCCATTTACGATCCGTGGATGGTGTCCGTGAGTGCCACATGTAACACCAGAAATCTGAAATCTCTATTTTCGGATACGGGGTGTTACAAACAGCAATCATTTTGTTCTCATCAATCAATGTTAACTGATCAATCCGCTTGCGAACCCACTCAGCATCACTCAATTCAGCTTCTGGGATGATTCTCAATGAAAGTATTTCAACTTGTACAGGTATAACTGCCTCTGTTCCGTATACTAGCAAATATGGAGTAGCTCTGATTGATGTCCTGGCAGTCGTTCTGTAACCTAACAAAGCATATGGCATCGTCTTGTGCCAACCTCTGCGATTATCAATCATTTTCCTCAAAATCTTCTTTATGTTCTTGTTGGCGGCTTATATAGCTCCATTCATTTGGGGACGGTAGGCAGTTGAGTTCCGGTGAGTAATCTTGAATTGTTCACATATTTCTCTCATCAAATGACTATTGAGATTCGCTCCATTATCGGTGATGATGGATTCTGGCACTCCAAACCTACATATCAAATTATTGCGAACAAAATCAACTACAACTTTCTTGGTCACTGACTTATACGAAGCTGCTTCTACCCATTTGATGAAGTAGTCAATGGCAACCAAAATGAATCTGTGTCCGTTAGAGGCGGCTGGCTCTATCAGATCAATGACATCCATGCCCCAAGCTACAAATGGTCAAGGTGAACTCATAGCATTGAGTTCATGGGGCGGGACACGAATCAAATCTCCATTCACTTGACATTTATAACACTTCTGCACAAACTTGCAACAGTCATGCTCCATATTCATCCAAAAATAACCGGCGCGAAGGATCTTCCTCGCCAAAGTGAGCCCATTCATGTGAGTACCACAAACTTCAGCATGTATCTGGTCTAGAAGCTTTGCAGCTTCATTAGCATCAACACATCTGAGAAGACCTAAATCTAGAGTCCTCCTATAAAGGATCTCCCCACTTGCAAAGAAATTGAGGGTCATGCGGCATATCGACTTCTTCTGGTTGAACGTTGCATTCTCAGGATAAGTCTCGTCCTCTAAATACTTCTTGATATTAAAATACCAAGGCAGACCATCTGGTTCCGCTTCAACATGCGAACAATGGACAGGATGCTCTTTTACCTCTATATCGACTGGATCAATATAACTTATATCTGGATGTTTAATCATTGAGGCGATGGTGGCAAGAGCATCAGCCAACTCATTTTGTGTCCTGGGAGTGTGTCGGAACTCAATCTTGTGAAATCTTTTGCACAACTTATGTATATACTGCACGTACGGTGTGATCTTTGGGTTCTTTACGGCTCATTCTCCTTGAACCTGATGAATCAATAAATCTGAATCTCCAATAACCAGCAACTCGTGAAAATTCGTATCAATTGCCATCTTTAGACCGAGGATGCAAGCTTCATACTCAGTCATGTTGTTCGTACATTCAAATCGGAGTTTAGCAGCCATAGGATAGTGCTGACCGGTTTATGACACTAAGACCGCTCTGAGTCCTTTCCCTTGATGATTAGCCGCTCCATCAAAGAACACTCTCCAACCAGGGTACGCTTCAAAAATATCCTCACCCACAAATGTTATTTTTTCATCAGGAAAATAAGTCTTGAGTGGTTCATACTCTTCATCAACTGTATTCTCTGCAAGATGATCAGCCAAGGCTTGTGCCTTTATCGCCTTCTAAGTCACATACACAATGTCAAACCCACTCAAAAACATTTGCCATTTAGCCAACTTCCCGGTCGGCATTGCTTTCTGGAAAATATACTTCAATGGGTCCATCCTGGAAATAAGGTATGTGGTATAAGAAGACAAATAATGTCTCAACTTTTGAGCGATCCAAGTCAAAGAACATCATGTTCTCTCCAAAAGAGTGTAACGAGCCTCATATGGAGTGAACTTTTTGCTCAAGTAATAAATGGCTCGCTCTTTCTTCCCAGTTTCTTCATGTTGACCAAGCACGCATCCCAATGCATTATCTGAGACAGAAAAATATAGCAATAACGGACTCCCTTCTCTCGGAGGGACCAACACCGGCGGATTGGACAAATAGTTCTTGATGTCATTAAAAGCAATTTGACATTCTCCGGTCCACTTGGTCAAGGCATCTTTTTTCAATAACATAAAGATGGGTTCACACCCCTCGGTGGATTGAGCTATGAATTGGCTGATGTAGTTCAACCTTCCTAAAAAACTCATCACCTCTTTCTTGGTCTTCGAAGGAGGTAATTCCTGGATCGCCTTGATCTTGGAAGGGTCAAACTCAATGCCCCTCCTGTTGACTATAAATCCCAACAACTTGCCAGCTGGCACTCCAAAAGCACACTTGGAGGGATTTAACTTCAAATTGTATCGGCGTAAGCGATCAAAGAATTTCCTCAAGTGAGTAAAGTGATCTGAACTCTCGCGGGACTTGATTATGACATCATCTACATACACCTCAATCTCCTTGTGAATCATATCGTGACAAATGGTTGTCATAGACCTCATGTAAGTAGCACCGACATTTTTGAGACCAAACGGTATCACCCGATAATGATATACACCCCAAGGCGTGATGAAAGCTATATTTTCTGCATCTTCTTCGTCCATCAGGATCTGCTGGTAACCCGCATAACAATCCACAAATGACTGCATCTCATGCTTAGTGCAGTTATCAATGAGGATGTCAATATTTGGCAATGGAAAATTATATTTCGGGCTATCTTTTTTGAGATCTCTGTAGTCAACACAAATTCTAAATTTTCCATCTTTCTTGGTAACCGGAACGACAATAGCTAACCAAGTCAGATACTGCGTCACTTCCACTACTTGGGACTCGATCTGCTTTGTAATCTCCTCTTTGATCTTCAAACTCAACTCAGGCTTGAACTTCCGAGTCTTTTGTTTTTCTGGACTGAAATTTGGATTGATCGGCAACTAGTGGGACACCATATTCGTACTCTGCCCTGGCATAACTTTATAAGACTAGGCAAATACATCAATGTACAATCTGAGCAAATGAACCAGGTTTCTTCTTTGGGCTTCAGCCAGATGGACACTGATTCTGACTTCTTTGACACATTCCTCATCTCCGAGATTCACAATTTTGGTTTCTTCTAAATTTGGCTTGTGTTGATTATCAAATTGTCGAAACTCCTCAGCAACATGTTCAGGTACCTCATTTTCTTCTTCATATTCCTCGCACTCATCATCACCTGCATCATTTTGTTCACTCGGTTCATGACATGACATGACATTGGCAGGTTTTAAATTAATATTACTGAAATCATAAACAGACAAAGTTAGGAAAGTAAAATATAAACAGATAAGTAAACAAACAAATTTTGATAAAAGAGGCTTTTCATTTAAATTGAAAGACAAGCACAAACTTTGGCCATGGCTGAGGGCCATTTTGCCTTTTTAACCATCACAAGGGAATTTAAAAGCTTCAAACAAATAACAATTACATAAAGGGTGGGTCTCTGGCCTCTTCCGGACTACCACCAATTTTAAAACAAACAAAAATGCATGTCCTTTCTACCCAGATGAGCGGGAAATCAGGAACTACGTAGAGGTCCAGTTCTGTAATTGCTCATCAGGTTCTGCATCACAAATGTATGATGTCCCAGCCTCTTCCTCGATGACAGCATCAAATCCTCATAAAGTCCCGAGATTCTTCCCCCGAGACCACCATCATTGGCGTGCTCCTGCACCGAGAATGACTGGTACAGATGAGGAATTGGCCTAGCAAATGCTTGATCAACACTCTTGTTCTTCATCTCTGCTTTGTCAGCATCTGTGGGGACATACCCCAAACCAAACTTTGCTCCTTTGGCAGGAATTTGGACAGGGTCGACAATTTATTGAAAGTTCTTCCCCAATCTGAAACCTGATTCAAAACCGCTCTGGAGCATGGCAGTAGCAATTATCTTTTACACGAAGGGGATAGGAGGTTGCAGAGCTAAGTCATCATCGGTGGCATTTACCAGCTCCACGTGTAAAAATCGCAACCTCGAGAGACATCATCATCGATCGGTGCATACCCATTAGAATGGCTCCCTTCACTATAAATGACCAATTCATGGTCCTTCCAAACAAACTTCATTAGTTGGTGAAGGGTAGACGGCACATCCCCAGCCATGTGGATAAACAGTCTTCCTAGAAGCAAATTGTAATCGGTGTTGATATCTAACACCTAGAACTCCACATTAAATTCTGCAGGACCCACCTGAATATCCAAGTTTACCACACCCAATGTGTCTCTTTGCACTCCATCAAAAGCCCTCACATTGACTTGGTTCTGGTGAAACTTTCCCAAGTCGAATTTCAGCTGCCTCAGAGTCGAAAGTGGGCAAATATTAAGACCGGATCCATCATCCACCAAGACGCAATTTATTATCTTGTCTCGACATATAGTGGTGACGTGCAGAGCTTTGTTGTGCATCCTGCCTTCAAAGGGCAGCTCATCGTCACAAAAACTAATTCAGTGTCCTCGAATGACCTGGTTTATCATGGCTTCTAGGTTGTCACTGTTGGTACCCACAGGCACATAAATATCATCCAGAGCCTTCATCAACGCTTGCCTATGCAGTTGTGAACTCATCAACAAAGCCCATACAGAAATCTGAGTTGGTGTCTTCTCTAAATGCTTCACAATTGAATAATCTTTCGTCTGCATTTTCCTCCAGAACTCTTCGGCTTCAGCTTCACTAATCGACCATTTAGTTCGATCCTTTTTCTACCCCTCTTGGGCCAATTCTTCCGGCGTGTAGCACCTGCCAGATCTGGTCATGCCTTGAGTAACAGCTGTTTCAATCAAAAATTTTGGTCGGGTAAGAGTTTCTCTCGGCACCAAGGCAACAGCCTTCTCGGGTGTCAGAATCACAAACTTTTCTTCTCTCTGATGCTCAATGAAGCTACAGCCCTTTCCAGTTCATCAGGAGAAATCAGAACTATTGCCTTTGTCACGCACCAATCATCATATGTCTCTATCATATTTATAATGATTCCTCTATGATCTGGCAAAGAATTACTATTCACATTGGGCGCGACTGTCTAATAAGATACCACGTTCTGGTCAATTAGGTCTTGGATCTTATGCTTCAAGTTGATGCAGTCCTCGGTATCATGTCCAATACTGTTAGTGATATGCGCACATCTGGTCAGGTCTGTAAAACTTTGAGCTAGTGTCAACCGGCTTGGGCCCCACTGGATAAATATATCCTACCGCAGTTAATCGCTCGAATAGCTTTGTTCGACTTTCAATAAGCGGAGTGAAAATTCTAGCAGGCTTTTTCTCAAATCTAGAACGGGGGTGATCGTAATTGCCTTATTGCGGATGACGT